TTCCCGCTTATAGGTGTGGGCATGTTGAAAGTAACGAATAATATTGAAGTAATAATAACGTATGGTACCTAATGAAACAAGTAAGCAAGCGAAATGTTGCTAAGATCGAAGAGAGTGCGTAATCCTTTCGATGAGATAAGTGAAAACGAGATAGTTCGATCGAGCCAAATCCCACTGGGCAGTGAATAATCTTTTCAAGTACCAAGGCATCTGGTGCACGTTCTTCTACAGCACAGGATCGATGACGTAAAATTTAGCAACGCTGAAATAAGACTGGTGGTCGGAATGTGAAAGTACTGCCGATCTTTTTTGGAATCATCGAATTTTCCTTGATAATGTAAATCACAGTATGCCCGTCTGCCTAACACGGCTACGTCATCTTTTGCGTAAATTAGATAGAACCTTGAAATCGGGTCAGCAGGCTTGCCGGTGTGAAAATGTATTTTTTGCAAAGTTTTCCGTACAGGTATTTGTGACCAAATAACACCGTTTTTACGGCAGATACTTCTAGCTAAACAAATTGGGAGTGAATCCACGTCTATAAACTGCGACAGCCACTTCTAGGTGTTCACGCCTTCCATAGGTAATTGAAACATTGAGACGCTTTAGTGTTTTTATACAAAATTGAATTTTTTAAGCCTTCATAATATGCACTATCTCTGCGTCTTAAGACATGATCTGAAGTGCATAAAAACGGACCTTGAACAACAACAAGAGCGAGCTGTAGAGTATTGACGGAGACGCCAACTTTCAGCTGATACATACAGTGCTGGAAGTCATAACGGTTCAGCTGACTGAACATATACTGTAGTCGTGCAGCATCGTGCTCGCCAACCACGCAGAACGCCTCATTACGCTTGATTCTCGGGTGTTCGTACGTCCCGATTAAGAGCCAGTTCCTGTAATTCTGGATTATCTTTCTTTGTAGGCTCTAACTTTTGCCATTGACAGTACTCGAAAGAATTTGCTTAACCACAGCGCGCTTATTTTTCTTCTGCAGTTCTTTATAAAAAGTATAATTTTTAGAAAAATATTTTTGAACTGAGGCATAAGTCTAAACAAAAGATAACAGCGTTACTGTGATAAGGCAAAGTAGAAATCAGCTTGTGCTCGAGGTGAAATGAGTCAAAGCGGAGTCCAGTTCGTACTCAAGGCAGGGTCCGGAGACGTGAAAATCAGCACGAGGAGGAAGACAAGAGAGAAAGGCGATACGTTGGAAGCATAGTGTCAGATTGAGTGAAGTTATATAAGTGATATTAATACTGAGATTATAGAATACTTTAAATATTAATATTAAGATTATAAAATACTTTGGTATATGTATTAAAAATTGTTGCCGCACTAATCAAAATCGACAAAATTTATATGACAGTACTTTATCTACTGTGACGCCCTCCTCGCCTCATCTACATCCCCTTCCATCACTCGCCTATCTTTAATTGCCTTCAAAAAACTTTACAAACGTCCCTCAGAAAAACAAAACAATAAAAAAGGTAAAGCTTCTGTAAAAAATGGCTTATACCTGGCTGAAATAGCGGCAGCAGCCGCGCACAGCATTAGAGAGATTAGCGATAGTACCAGGTGTGCCACAAACAGGTTGACGGTACCACGTCTTGCTGCAGCCACTCCTAGCACAGCATTGACGAGCAACACGGCGGACGTCCATAGGGCTGAATAGTAGGGGCAATAGTCCGACGTCTCGAGCAAGCACCAAATTCCTGCACCAAGTAGCAAAGCTGCAAAAAACATTTTTTTACATTCATGAAATTTGCGATGCACAAAAACTCATAGAATGAGCAGCAACAATTCTTTAGTTCAATTTGAGTGATTTTAGTTACATGAAATCAAGTCGGTTTCCACTTTTTCCTTATCTTTTTTCACGAATTTCCTCTTTTTTTATAAAGAGTTTTTAAAATGCCGTAGAAATAATGAACTTAAATATTTTTGCTACTATTATAATATTATTATTGTTATATTACTATTATTGTTGTCATTTTTATTATCACCTTTGTTGCTGCTGTCTTGATTGTAATCGTGATCATTATTCTTATTACTATCATTATTATTACAGTCGCAAAAAAGAGGAACATTCGCAATGGTAGTAGCATAACGAATACACTCTGATGCAGTTCATTCACTAAAAAATAATCACTTCCATGTGTATGAAAAAAAGTATTGCAAACAAGATTTTTTGTGTTGCAGGAAAGCACTTTTGGCAAATTCTGATAAAGAGGCATTCTACCATAGTTTTAGGTAGCACAGTGAAAAGCAATTCTTTTGTCCGTTCATCAACGTTTTGTAAACAAAAGCGCAAAAACTTTAAAATACGTCAAGTGCAAAAACTTTAAATACGTTACAGCGTTAAAAGAAAAAACAAAGATTGTTCAATACTTTGGAAAAAGGGCAAAGAACACAAGTGATCCTCACACTACGCTAGATATCGCCCTAGCCCATAAAACTTTGTTTCATTTGTGAACGTGTTCGAAATGCTTCAGTAGATCCTATATGTTTTTAAACTCATGAATTCACCGTCCAGTCAAGAACATGCAAAACTGCTGCATTCATATGAAGCCAGGAAATGAACCTGCAATGAGTCCTTCAAGTAATGCGATTTTAAGCATGGCGCTAGCATTGAACTGTCGAAATCGTTGTGGCCTTTTCTCGCTTTTCTGAAGAGTTGGTAAAACAGGCTGGGCATATTCAGACGGTGGTGGCGGCGGATTGTACGGCGGTGGCTTGCGTGTC